CACGTGTCAGGGGCGGAAAATGGCCGCGAACCATGTGTCAGGGGCGGAAAAATGGCCACGGACCACGTGTCAGGGGCGGAAAATGGCCGCGAACCATGTGTCAGGGGCGGAAAAATGGCCACGGACCACGTGTCAGGGGCGGAAAATGGCCGCGGACCACGTGTCAGGGTCGGGGCGGAAAAATGGCCGCAGACCTTGTCATGGGAGGGAAAATGCCCGCATATATCCTGCTCGTACCCCGAGGCGGAGTTCGCAAACCGAGGTAAATTTTTGCGTCCGGAGCTGGTCGTAACCCAAAAAGTTCGTTAACAGAGGCGTTCGTAACCGGAGGTACCACTGTATTCTGAACCATTTTTAGTTCTTTAGTAATAACTAGAACTTTAAGAACTAAGAACTTTAGTAATAAGTTTTTTAGTAATAATACTCTGAACCATATTAAGTCAGGCTCCTGTTTAATGAGGAGCTGAGGGCAATGAAATTGAAGTAATATATTTAGGTCTCTGTGTTCCACATGTGTCCAGCCCCAAAACAAAGCTTGGAACACCGCTTCCAGAAAAGAAGGATCAGTTTCTTGAAAACAGCTTGACCACTTAGAGAATGGCCATATTGGGATAGCCCAAGGAAGGAACAGAATGATTTCAAACAGTCAGATCTGCATGTCCCTAATACAGTCACATGCAGGTGTGTGTTTTATTTATTTGTTTGTTTTGTTGATACCTATTTACTTTTCTGAGAGATTATCTCAGTGGTTCTCATTTGTCTTCTTGTTCCATTATTAGAATATATTATTAAATGAATATTGTGAAGTGTTAGTGATGATTTTTATTGTCTTAGAAAATTATTTTATAATAGGCATTATTTATATCACATGAAACATCTGGGAAATTTTTTTCAATGAGGTGCCACTAGAATGCTGACAAGCCTCAGCAATATTGTTGTCATCTAACTCCAGGAAGGGTCAGTAATGGGTAAATAAAGGTGAACAAACTGAGATTAAATACAGGTAAGATTGAGGTATAGTTGATTTGCAGAAAATTTGTTTCAGGGATTGAGATTCAACCTACTCTGAAAAGGCTTCCTCTGTTTGAAAGATCA